AAATATTTGTTTCACTACCAAGAGCATACATATTACAACAACAAAATCTGCATACAGCTATGTTATACATATGATGGCGATGATAGATTTTATTTTAAAAAATCCAAATAATTCAAAAACTTCTGATTTCATTGCGTATTATAATTCAACTGAAGAGTCAAATGCCAACCCATTAGGCAATATAAATTTCCATTATCCAAACTATATTTTTTGCAATTTATTAATGATCAATGGTGTAAATATTGATCAAGACATATGTTTTGAAGAAATAGTTTATTCGGCGTTTCCATGTAAACGTAATATTTGGGAACGAAGAAATAAAAGACACTTTCCTATAATTAAATATAAATTTAATTTATCATTAAGTCGAATACGCAAGTTGGGACTGGAAATTGAATCCACAAAACACTTTAATCAACACCTCACACTTAAAGGACAAACTGTCAAAATTTTATCTTATGATTTGCCAACAGAACAATTCATCTTAGTTTATCAATATAATCGACTCGCTCGATTGTATGGCATTCAGACTGTCGGTTTAGAAATAATGAAGTCATATTTGTTCTTATTAAACGATAGTGAATCTAGAGATATTATAGTTAACCGTGATATTTGGATGCCTAACGATGCAATGAAAACCAGAACTGTTTTTATCAAGAATTGGACTAAAGGTGTTAGTTACTCTATTCTTTATGGCAAGTTTCTTGATCTGGAAAAAAGGCTCAATTCTTTTTGGTTCAGGTTCCTGATGGACATAGAACATAACCGAAATCACGAGCCGATGCTATATTATTTTTTTTGGTTCTCAATAATTTTGGGGTTTATGGAATTAATAAACTTGACAATTGGTTTCGCGCGCTGAGATAAAAACGATTTAAGTTCTTTCACTTGATTTTATTTAATTTTATATAGTTATAGATTAGATCAAGATCGAACAATTTTTTTAATATTACTAAAGATGGACAATGTCAAAATGACATTATTCGGCATTTTAATTGATCAAAACTGTTAACAATGCTAATATTATTTTACGTTATATATATATACTCTCAAAGAAAATCACCCGAATATTGCACTTAATTTTCTGTAGTAATTTCTTCTCATCATAGTGAAACTCTAATCAAATTTTTACTTGCATTAATTAATTTAATTAAACTTAAACCCACATTTTAA